CCTAATTTTCGTTAGTTTTAAACGTTCGATGGGCCTGTCATTAAGGGTTGTTCGACGTCTGTTTTCCTCGTGTCTGTTATCTCCTGTCTGAATGATTATTAAAGCAAGTGCCTGACCGTTATTGGGTTTTTATAGATATAATATGGGGTGGTGAGGGGAGGGTATTTTTTTGTCGTTTTAACATTTATGATGTGTTGTTTTTAGTTCATGTATTCCTTGTCTTTTCGTTAGCGTTTTTGGACTAATCTGTTTATTCAATATTTGTATGATAATCTGTTTATTTAAAATATAAAATATAATAAGTTTTTTTTTTTTTTTTTTTATTTAGTTGACCCGCGGCTACTAAGGCCATTGGGTTTTTTTAAGTAAGGTTGGTTCGGTAGGTTGTATTTTTTACGATTGATACGGTTGATAGCAAACACGTGTATGTGTGGCAAGGTTTTTAACCACTATGATCCCGAATGGTCACCCATCCGAGAGCTAGTAGCTGTGGCCGTTACTTACTCCCAGTGGCATTCCGCAACTGGAAGCAGCCAACGCGCCACGCCAAGCCACATTATAATAAGTTTATAATCATAAAGTATATAATATTATATAAAATAAATTACAGTTACCACGAAAATAAATGTCCTAATTTGATTTTAATACAGTTTAAAACTATTAATTAGTATTGCATATTTTTAGAACGGTTCTTAATCAGAAAATACATTCAGAATCGAATAATCCAATCATTTTATTTTGTTGGATTTGCAGTAGATTGATAAAATTAACTTCAGATAAATCGTTGTTATGATAATACAATACTCGAGATTTAATTATAGTAACATTGTCGATATTATTATTATAGATTGAATAAAAGTACATAGGAAAACTGTATAGTAAGATTTTATTTTGATTATACGTTCAACATTTGACGTTTTACGTTTAATATTTTAAATTATACTGTTTTTGTACAATTCATGAATTATTAAACGAAAAAATACTTTAACAAATGAAAATTTGGTCAGACGTAGAGTAAACACGTGTTTTATTAAAAACAAAAACATATTCTAATCAAATAGAAATATTTTTCGAAGAATCGATAAATTGGTAATTACTTTTATTTTTATTATTGGTAGTAGTTAAATTAATAGTTTTGCGTGAATAAGTTATACTTTTTATGCGGAGAAACAATATATCATTAAAAATTATTTTATAATATTTTACAATATTTATTCATCTATTTTTTTTAGTACATAAGATCTGCACTTCAGCTACCCCGTTATAATTAACATAATTATTTTCCTGAGTTTTTACATCATTTAAACTTTTGGTTGGAAAACCAATATATTTTTAATTCTAAGTGTTTTGTTATTTTATTTTAGTAAAATTTATAAGAAAATTATCACTATCAACAATTAAAAATTATTAATGTTGGGTTAAACTTAAAAATTTGGTTTTGAACTGAAATTTTAAATTATATTTCGAATTAAAATAATTTCGAAAAAATTACAATTCGAAAGATTCAGAAATATGTTAGAGATGTTTTATGTGTTTATTTAGAGTTCATATATTTCTTGCGTATATAATATTTATTTTGAAATTCAGTTTGGGTTTTCTTTAAATTAAGTTTGACTTTAAACTCAAACCGAACAACTTTCACCAAACCCAAAATTTCTAATACTTCGATCACCTCTAAAATGTATTTTTAGGTTGTATTTTTGTCTGTAAAATGAAAATAATATTAATATTATCCCCTATGTGAAAGTATCACAATGATTTTATGAGAAATAAAATTTATTTTTAAAGTACTAAAGTTTATCCTGGCTTTTAACTGAAATACCACAGCACAACACTTGGACACATCTACTATTAGACATTTAACCAAACAGTGATTTACTCGATTTGAGTTAAAGCGTACAATATACACGATTGAATAAATTTAAATATTTTTATTATTTTTAATTTTTATCTAAAGTTTTAGATCTAATAATTAGTTATTGATTAATGTACACTCTGCAAGGTAATTTAGAATCTATTTTTTTCTTCTTAAATTATAATACAAAAATTAATTTAATAAATTAATTAATGTATATTATTTTGTAGATCTTTGATTATGTAACCTTGATTTAATATCAGTTTAGTTATTAGTATTATTTAAGTTTTATTTACTTTAAGATATCTATAATTGTAGGTAGTCAATCTCATAAGTATTTTTTAAATATTTTAAGGGGGTTATAAAATAAATAGGTCCTTTTTTAAAGACCTATTGCCAAATCTAACTACCGAGGATCTCAGGAATATTCTGGACAAGTTTTTTTTGTTAGCAAAAATATTGTAAACCTTTATCTATATAATTTAGGTCAACTGTTTATAAATATTAAAGAGATGGTTGGTCAAAAGTGTGAAAAAGACTTTAGAAAGTTTTATCGTGTCGTTCAATATAAGACTAAATTATATATTTTTATGGTAAGATTTTACCAAAAGCAAACATAATATGCTGTTTTCTTGGTAAAAGAAAAAAAAACATGTAATCAAATTGGGAATACTTACGTTAGGTACTTTAAAACGTTTTATTTTTTTAATGTAATTCAAAAACAAATTATTATAAATAATTGAAATTTTTACAAAATGTTCATAATATCACTAGTAAATATTTATTAAAATTTCAGTACATATTAACGCCAGTTTATTAGAATTATTAAATTATTATTATAACAATTTTTATTTAAAATTATTAAATTATTATTACTTTTAAAAATTACAATTTATTTAAAAGTACATGAACTTTTTAGATAGCATTTAGAGTTATATAAAGTACTTTTTTTTTTAAACATATGCACCGTTTTGTGGTGTATTTTTGTTGTCATGTGTATTTAAAAAACCTTTGAACATTATCTAGTGATTAGAATTCGGATGCCTTTCGAAGACAAATATCTTCATCTAGTACGTCATTGAGCGTCTTATCTTATATTTTCACTAATAAAACGAGAATGGCTACAAATATTGTATTTTATCTTACTCCACTATTGGTTATCTATCTAACGATGACTATAAATTGCATACATTAGTGAAAATTCAATCGGTATTCTATATCATAGTAACTAGTAAAACCGTATGATTTATATAATAGCGAGCATATTTAGAAATTTTATTGAATAATTAGTTATTTAATAAAATAACGTATTACATAATATACATTACCACTAGTATACATTTTTAAGCAATCATAAAATATTGATATAAATAGACACGATTTTTTTTATAAGTGTTTTGTCTAAATCCGACAAAATTTGTCGCACGAAAATCTGTGAATTATTTTGTATTTAAAAATGTATAAAATGTTTCTCCTTAGTTTTTCTTGTACAGAATATCTAAGTGTTGACAAAATTGAATATTTAAATGAATCATAATTAAATTTCGTTTCTTACTGTTACTTAAACATATTGTTCGTTGAGACATGAAAATTTTCGCTACAACAGTTATGTCATTATTTACTACAAACAATGAAGTTTTCAAGATATTTAGCTGAATAATTAATCTTTATACTTTAGAGGTTTTTTTAGGGACTACTTGTACATTATAATAAATAAATAATAACAATAATTATCGACTCCGTTACGTCGATATGCTGACTTGTTAAGTTAGGCCGGAGTAAGATCATAATATGAATTAGGTACTAGTATTAATATTATATAGGTAATATAATAACATATTCTAAAGAATACAAGGCCGACGGTTGGTGTCCACTCCAAATACTGCGTATTTCGTATACGCACGCGACGATCGAATTCGAATCAACTGCAAACCCATCGTTGCGGTGACCTCCTATACCGCGAGTATTGCGCCTTCCATCAACACCCACACAACCACTATAGTTGTGAAACACCGGGACTCTACCGGGTTATTATTTTTTTTTTTCAAAATTACGCGTTGTTCCAAAGCTGCATATGTACACTTGTAAAATTTGCGCGTAACGAATAGTAAAAGCGTAACAGCAATAAATATGTGTGGACGTAAAGAAGTAACGCCGTTGCGTTACAAGGTTGATACGCGACGAAGTTACATCACGTTTCAAGAGTCGTCGGAAAATCGAGTCGCATCAAAATATTGCTGCTTGTTGTTAGGCATGGATTCAGAGCAAAGATCTGGTCCAAATAATTTTTTTATAGTTACTTTATTCTTAATTTAAATTTTTCGTTATAATAGTAGGTACCTTATCAATGCAATAAATAAATTAATGATTATTTAATATACCCGATACAATATTTATAAATTAAATACCTAATAAAATCTAAACGTCTATATACATTTTCGCTTTTTCAATATTTACCTATACGTATATATATATATATATATATTCACCTCGTATAATATATTTTATTATCAGACGTATATGTGATTTGAAATATAGAAATACCAGGTTCTGAGGAATCGTAAAAAACAATTTGAGAAATAATATGTCTGATGGCTGGGCCCCTAGGCCCATCTGGATTTGTCCCTGCTCGTTGGGGTTACGATTAGTACGCGCAAACGTTACAAGCGTGTAGGTACTCAACACCTTGCTGTTAATTCCATTTAATATTCCTCTCAAACGCGCACGTCTCTCGCGACGTGTTTTGCGGTCGTTTGCGACGAGACGCTGCGTATGACGGATCGTGTTCGCATATTATATTATAATTGTTATTATTATTGAACGTGTTGCAGATCCGACGGGCAGCCAGGGTCATCGAGAAGGAGTCGGCCGAACGCGGCGAAAGACACCGAAAGAGACGACCAGGCGCTCGACCGGAAGGATCCGGCGGCGGCGGCGACGGCAGCAGCGTAAGTTCGTTCGTACGCCGACGGCGACGTCATCGGCGGCGGTGGCGGTGGTGGTGGTGGCGGTGGAGGTGTGGCGACAGACACTGCGACGGGTCGACGGTGACGACGGACGGTGACGACGGCGACGACAGCGACGACGGTGATGATGAAGCAGCTCGTCACCGGCGGTGTTTGCGTTTGTAGGCGGCCGGCGAGCAGTGCGTAGCGCGCGTCCGCGGTCATCATGCAATCGGGCGGCGTGACGGCGGCGCCGGCACCGTCATCCCCCAATGGGTACGGTGCGCAGCAGCAGCAACAGCTGCAACAGCAACAGATGCTGCTGCAGCCGCTGCCCAGCAACTCGCCGGCGTCCACGGCGGCCACCGGGACGGCCACCACCAACAAGATACTCATCAACGGCGGCCGGTTCGACTTCGACGACGGCGGCACGTACTGCGGCGGCTGGGAGGACGGCAAGGCGCACGGCCACGGCGTGTGCACCGGCCCCAAGGGCCAGGGAGCGTACTCGGGATCTTGGCACTACGGGTTCGAGGTGTCTGGCGTTTACATGTGGCCCAGGTACGCGCGTGTCGAGTGTGCCGGTGTTTTACGGGGTTTCCTCAACCTCCCCCCCATATCTTTTCACGGGATGTTTTTATCGTCGTAGGGCGTTGTATACAGTAGGTGTGTTGGCGGTGAGGGTCAGAGGGTAGTGGCGGCTGTAAGAGTCGGCAGGTGGGTCGACGTCTACAACGAGAAGTTCCTCTTTGCGGGCGTACTCGCGTGACGGTCAAAAGTGCAAATAACGTACTTCCCCGCGAAGTAGAGATTTTGATTTTTTAAATCACTGACTAAAACAGTGTCCGGTCGGGGTGTGTACATGCGGCCCAAACACGTGAGTGAGTCGAGTGCGTGTTATTGCTTCCGGGTTGATCCGACAACGTCAATGACAATAATGTATTGATAGTGGTAGGGGGAGGGAGAGGAGAGATACGGAAGTCTTCGTTACGATTTCCCCCACAAAACGTCCCTCGCAGGTGTAATTACTAATAATTAGAGTTCGGAATTCTCAGTCGGTTCTATGAAATCAAAGTTGAAAATAACGCTCATGATACACTTATTACTTATTAGTTATTAGAACACGGTCGTTATAAATTAATATTCTAACTCCAAATGTATACAATTAAATATTAAAAAAAAAAAAAAGAATATTTTAATATATTTCAAAATTTCACTTTTTGTGCTTTTTTAATAGTAAATTTATCTACAAAATTTTTAAACTCGTTTTGTATATTTTCGATTCACGCTCAATCGATATAATACCCTTATATTCATCAGTTAATCTTGATACATTGTAGACTTTGGATAGTTCTTAGTAATTTTCAGTTTACTAAAACTTCTTTCTCAAGTTGCAGTTGTTATCAGTCTAGTTAAAAATATCCTGAGAGAAATTTTAATATTTGCATAAACGTCTTATAAAGAATATCTATGGATATATTTTAGTAGTTATCAAGGAGTAGTTGATTTAAAACTATATATTATATTATATTAAAAAATTAATGTAACTTTTAATTAATATGTATTAATTTTGAATTTTTAAAATATTTTTTTCTATATTTATAAGTTTTTATTATTTTACAAGTTTTAGATTTTTATGTTCTTATTTTGTATATATTAACTTTCAAATTTAATAATAATTATTAAATATTATATAGACACAAGTTTTGTGGCACCAAAAATTAAATACAATTGTTTACACTATAAAACAAAAAAAATACTTACAAATAATATTCGAAATTAAACGTTTATATAGTACGCATTAAAGGTTTTCATTTTTATAACGGTTATCTAATAACCTTAAATAAATAAATAATAATCAATAATAAATTAGTTTTTGCGAGTAATTTGCGTGTCAGTAAATCAATTACCTAAACTTGGTTCATTTATTCCTAATTTATAGATTTCGAATTATTATAATTTCCACATTATGCATTTCGGTTTATATATAAAAAAAATTAAAACGTTTAAAAAATAAATAAATACAAATTTCATGAACATTGTTAAAACATATAACATAGTAAATAATTCCCTATTTTTTTTTTTTTTTTAATTCAACTAAAAACGTTTTAATATAAAATTTATTTTTTAAAGAATACATTTATAACTTTCAAAACAAGAAATCACAGTCATAAAAATAAACTTTTAAGTGCAATTAAGATGGAGCCTTATTTGTAACAATCGATGTTTAAAAGTCATTTCTTATAATGTAATACTCAACACACGATAACACCATAATAATAATAATAAAAAATAAACTCGCATCAATAATCGCTAATTTTTGTGTGACTAGTATAATTAATAATATCGTGAAGTCAAGTTAGACCTGATTATAAAAGAAAACTTTGAGAATAACGGTTAAATCTGAAATTATCCTCAAATATGTATAATTTAAGTACTCATGTTTATTTGCATATAACATGGCATGGGAGACGTCATCTCTGTATGTTATTTAAGATTGTGAACGTTTTTTTTTCATTTAGAACAAATCTTGTTTTAGTATATAATAGAAACATTTTATTAATTTAATAATTAAGTGTATATAAAAAGTATCGATCAAAGAGTCAAAGTAAATAGATAGTTACATATACGAGTAAACAATGTATGATTGTACACTGATGTTCCTGCTAAAAAAATGTAGACACTTCTGCTTAATTTAAAAAAAAAATGTGCACTTCTAACATAGCTTCAATAAAAAATTGGAGCATTACTTCAATTTTCAAACTACAGACAGCAATAATCTATATTTTAAGGATTCTCAGAAATGATCTATTTTAAGGTTATATTAAAAAAAAGTGTTCGCATCTAAATTTCTGACGATCATGTACCATAAAGAAATTTATATAGTAAATATTAATTTTAACAAACAATATTTATGACCACAAATAGACAACAGTGTAACAGCAGAAGCTTTAAACTTTGTTCATAAAGTTTTTGGAGGTTTGTCACTAATAATAACATTTTTTTGAGCAGTTTTAATTTTCATAGAATTAAAATCAGCTGTGGAAGACATGTTTGATACGTTGGAAATTATTTTCATGATAAATCTGGATTATGTAGAATATTAAAATTTACTATTATAATGAGAATGCAGAGAATTCCGTTTAGGACTTAAAAATAATCGCAACCAGAATGGAAAAAATTTCAACAAAAAAAAAAACAAAAAACAAAAATTGATCCCAAGTATCACATTAATTTTATTGTATACATGAAGAAAATTCTTAATTGTATAATATTTTTATGGTGTGTCTCGAACATATTTAAAATTACCAAGTGTGCAGTCAGGTAAAATAAGTTGGAAATTTCTAATATAGTAAAATCCGCACGTCAAACAATATATTTTGTAAAACAAGCAAAGGTAGTCTAATAACGATTATTATGATATAATATGAGAACACTGAATTAATTTTCCATGATGGTTTATTCTAGAATGCTCCTGATAAAATTATTTTGAGTAGGTACCATTAAATCATGTATAATTATACGAAATTGATAGATGCTTTTAGTCAAATATTATGCCTTATAATACAAATTAAATTATACCAAGTTCCGATCTAATATTATAATAATATAAATGACGTGATTAAAGGGGCTTGAAAGTCAATAGTGACGCATAATAAAATACTTATTTTTGAGTGAGATCAATAATTCCTATTGCCATATTATATTAATCAGTTACTCACGGTTTTGCGTAGGAATCATTCGAAAACTATTTAACTTGTTGTAGTTGAGCAAATAGCATATCCAAAAGACAAACACAGGTTTACAACTAAAATGGCCCTCTGTTTGATTGTACATAAATAATTAAATCTCAAAAATACACTAAACAACAGTTGATATCTCGGGTCAACAATAATAATAGTATGTGAAAGATAAAATGATTTCGAGTTAATTTGATTAAAATAAACAAACACTTGTACACTGATTTGTTTTTTAATCATAGTACATTTAATTTATAAACATAATGTATTCAATATTATAAAACACTTTTTGGGACTGTCTCTTTATGGAATGATTAAGTCGGTACAAGTAAACAGGTCACTGTATGATAATGTAGGAATTGAAAATAAATTATATTGGTAGACGTTTTTCTTTTTATTTTTACACATCGAATACTACTGTACGTGTACTTATATCCTATCTAATGTCCATGATACTATAAGCTCGAATGACATTTATTGATTTATCTATTATACGCATGAAATGGGAATACGGTTATACGTAACCATAGTTAGGTCATTGATAGATACCTAGTGTAACCGTTACCTAGTTTTAAATAAATAAATCTGTATCAACGGTGATTGACGTCGTAGTATAGTATTGTTGTTATCGGTGTTTTGAAATTGGGTTTAAATAAAATCATTAGCGATAGATTGATCGAGGAAAGTTCCTCGCAAAACAACAATCAATTAATGTAATCGTCACACAACGAACAAACAATTGTTTTCAATTGCTTTTAATAATCAAAATGTTAACCGTTCATGTACCGACCATCGTATTATTGTATCAGTTTTGGTTTGTATGTCACAAGAGCAATCATTATTTACAATATTATTTTTTAAAACAAAGAAATAAATTTAAATGTGATTTTAAAAACTTTTGTATGAATATGAGCGAGTACGTGACCATTCTAATGACAAATAGGTAGGTAGTATTTTCGTTTTAAATTAGACTAGGAGGTTCGTAGGTTTTTTTAAAAAATATGTAGTTTAACATTAGATATAAAAATAAGTATTATCCATTTATGAATTTGTAAAAACCTATTGGTATCGATTGAAATTTTATATTTTTAAACATTTTGTTCAAACGTGTATTTGATTTAACGCGCTTTTTAATTCTGTGATTATTATTATTTTTCTTTTATTTGACATTTTTTAATATTGACAATTTATAATTTATTCGATAATAGTTATAGCTATTGCTATAAATGTTTTTTTCACGTACTATTAATTTACTTTTTATTTTAGTTAAAGATTTAAAATAAAAAGAAAAAAATAATTTCTTACCAAATACAACGGAAATGCACAAATAATTAAATGAGTTTTAACTTATAATTATAAACAATGTTAGATTGTTATGTTATAAATGTATGCGTGTTTTGATTAAATATCGCACTTACATATAAATAATTTGATTTTATAAACAATAATTTAATTTAATAAACAATAGCATCTATTATGTTATTCAGCTTACATTTTTCAAATATAGTAAAAACCAAGTTAATAAAGAATAAATATTATCTTTTTAATCATAAAACCAATGGATAATTTTCACCAATAATAAAGTGGATGGAATCAAAATCTTTCGTAAGTACTGCGATTAATTACAATTAATGGGTTTATACGGGTGTCAGATTCGACGCGTTTTTATTATAAAAAATCGCTTCATAGGAAATGATATTATCATGCCATGTTACAACAGACAGATTTTGTTAATTTTTTTATTATTTGAAAGACGAAGACTTTTTGGAGGTCGATTGGACTTTGATTTAAAAAACTTATTTTCAGAATTCGTAATAAATG